AACAAGTTTTAAAAATGATGGTTATACGTGGGGCTATTAAAAAAAAAAAAGCCTTTCCCCCCTTAGAAGAGGGCACAGTGAACTGGCTCTGTGAATAGAAACCCAGATCCCCTCTGCAGCTGGCCGAGGGTGTGGCTGCCCTCTGCGTGTGCACAGGAGATCAATTCATACCAGCAAAACCGGAAAAATCACAACTGAGAGCAACGTGGAAGCAGCGAGAGCCAAAAGCAAAACGTAAAGGAGTCTGCCTTTCTGCTAGGTGAGTCACAGGAAATATTCCTGCCAGAGTCGGGAGGCAGGGCACACCCATCTCCTTCAGTTAAGAATGTAGGTCAAAGCTCCCTGGGCTTCGTGCTCCAGGGATCCAAGGGGAAAGGCTAGGGCCTAGGCCTCAGAGACAGGAGCCCAATTCCTAGGGGCAGGGAGGCTGGCCACTGGCCTTGGCCTGCCCTCTAACTAAGCCTCCACTTTCGACAGCCCACAGTCAACTCAATCATTCCAGAAGTGAACAAACCAGAGTGCTGGGCTAGCTCTCCTTTCTATTGTGGACTTGGGCCATTTCAAGTGTTCTTATTAGGGCTCACAGGATGAAAAGGCCCTGGAACTGTGGCTCAAGTTGGGTTTATACATAATGGACGGTCAGCTTACCCAGCTCTGTCGACACAGGGGACCCGGTGGCAATCTCACCAATCTTGGCCACTCCATCGTAGTAGGCTTTTCCTGCCAGGATCATAGCTAGACAGAGAAAGTGACAGACAAAATCATCAATTAGACAAGGAAAGGAGGAAGCAACATAGAGGTTTTCTTCCAACTTTCGTTGGTCCCTTCTGGCTGCAGCAAGTGTGGCTCTCAGAGGGCAAGGCTTGCGCGTGGTAGTTGTGGCAGGGCAGAGGTCCCTCCACTGCACTTCCAGAGTCCCCCAGCCACTGGAGAGCCCTCATGGTATCCTCATCTTGGACCAGCCCCAGGGAACCTTCAAGCAGCAGATGCTGGAAGTCCAGAGAAGGCCCTGCCTGCTCCTGATGCCAGTTTCAGAGTAGACAACGTGTTCCTAACATCAAATTAGGGCTGGAACACATCCAACTCCAGCAAAAAATCTTTTCTGAGCTGGTTATCCTATAGCAATACAAGTCTACAACATTCTTAGTTAGAAGGACTTGTGTGGGGTGGCCTAGGAAGCTGGTCCTTCAACGGCATTTTTACTTTTTTTATTGAAAAAGACATTCTGAGACAAAAACAACTAAAATACTTGTTGCTAGGGGAAAATCGATGAAATTTGAAATATATTGTCAGTCCAAGAAACAAAGGAATTATCTGAAAAATAATTGAAATGCTCTACTTTTTTTCCTTTCCCTTTTGGCAGAGAGAAAAACTTCTATTGCTCTACAAGTTGGATTCTAATTATCTTAAAAATCTTATTTCTCCTTTCACACTGATTCTTACAAGAAACAGAAATAGGCTTCTGACTTGTTTTTCTTTTCTTTTTCTTGCAAGGAGAGTTGGGAGCAAGACAAACCTGGGTTTGAATTCTACCTTTACTTCAAACCACATGACCTCCTTGGGCAAGTTAGTTATCCTTTCTGAAACAAAGGATGTTAATCTATAAAATGCCCTGGCAGCATGAGCGCCGGATGAACAAATGGAAGCTGCTAACACCAGTTCCTTCCTTCACTTTATCAGCAGCTAGGTTTGAGGAGGCTGAAGGTATACACGAGCAAGCTTTTCAATAAGACCTAGCCTATTGAGTGTGATTTTGGAGAAAATTATTTATTTTATTTTAGTCAAAGACTGGCTTCATAAACAGAAATCAGTTTCTCACATAGCCTTGGAGACCACAGGTTTGCGAGCTAAAAGAGCCCTTGTAAGAGTCTCTTTGAAATTTTTTTCTTTTTCTTTTATAAAATTTTGAGGTTTTTTTTTTTTTTTTTTTTTTTTTGAGGAAGATTGGCCCTGAGCTAACTGCTGCCAATCCTCCTCTTTTTGCTGAGGAAGACTGACCCTGAGCTAACATCCGTGCCCATCTTCCTCTACTTTATATGTGGGACACCTGCCACAGCATGGCTTCCCAAGTGGTGCCATGTCTGCATCCGGGATCCAAACTGGTGAACACCAGGCTGCTGAAGAGAATGTGTGCACTTAACCACTGCACCACCGGGCTAGCCCCGAGATTCTTTTTCTTTCACTGAGAAGAAAACCAGAAGCCACACCAGCTGGTCTGCCCCAATTTATCATGGATATTGTTTTCAAAAGGTAAGATTTAGAAAGGTATTTCAAGTTTAAAAAAGGTGGTGGTGGTAGGGTCTCACAGAATGAATTAATGTACAAGTCCAACTGAAGATTTGCAGGCCAAAAAAGTAGAATTTTCATGGCAAATTAATCTACTTTAGCATTTCTTATAGAGCTAAAAAATTACAAAAGTTACGGCTTTTACCATATATGTATACAAGTTTAGGAAATGTAATGTTCCACTATACTGCTATTTCATAAGACTAAGGATAACAAAGTAGAATTATATTAAAAAAAAATAACAAGTACCATTTATGTAGACTTTCCAACTCATCTCTTAAGTCAATCTACCCAACAGCATGAAGATACGGGTCAGTGATGTCATCACCCCATTTCATGAAGGGGAGTGGAGTGGGGCTATTCCGAGACATGCCCAAGGTCACTGGCAAATCAGAGGCATGCACACAGCTCCAGCTAAGGTACCTGACTTCCTCAGTTCTAAATTATGGTGCTTTTTGACTCTTTGGTCTCAGCTAGAACCGAAAAAGAGATGACTCCAACCTAAAAACAAGGTTTATAGCCAATAAACTGTCAGGTTAATATATGTAATGTTTTAGTATGAAGATTTTTAAATTGCAAGGTACCGATAAGCTAAAAAGCAAATTAGTATTACACAATATTTAAACAAAATTTTTGGTTTGCATCCACACATTAAATTGAAAGTTTTCATTAACTGTTGACTTATGTTTAAAACTATTTAACCTTCTCGGTTTAGTATAATATCCTTGCTTTTATGAGAAAGGAATTAACTTTTAAAAATTATATAATTTATCTATAACTAACACAGAATAAAATAATGTTTTCATAATTTTGTCCCCCTTTGTGAACACATTAGAGATTTTCTATCACTTGTTGTTCTAAGGAATGAAACACATTAGTTCTAGTTTAGTGTTGACCAACTACTTCATTCTACTAGATAATGTTTCCTTAAAATATGATTTCATTAGGTTATGGATTTGCTCAAAAATCTTCATTGGCCTCCCGCTGCCTAGAGGGTTAGGCCACACTCCACAGAGTTCATGGTAGATTTTTACAGTAATGGCCTTCAAAGCATCACACCTCCTCGAATTCCCAGCCTGGGTAGTCCCCTACTACACTGATAGGTGGCTTGGTCATGTGACTGGCTATGGCCAGTGGGGTATCGGCAAGCATCACTCTCACAGGGGCTCACACTCTTGGAACAGTCTGCTGTGCCTGAGGGAGGGAGTGAGCTGAGCCTCCAGCCTAGTCCAGGCCCCAGCTGACTACAGCTGCAGGAGTGAGCCCCAAGGGTCCTGAGAACTGCACTGCCTTTACAGGACCATGCAAAATAATAAACTATTGTCTTAAGCCACCAAGTTCAGGGGCAATTTGTTATGTGGCAATAGATTACTGATGCATTACTAGATTCACATGCATTAATCATTGGGCCCGATTCCATCTTGTATTTTACTATTCCCCAGCAGCTTCTCACCCATGCCAGTGTAGACCCCAGGTCTTGGCTTGGATGCTCTCTTTTCTGCCTGAAGCACTCGTATGCAGCATTTGCCTAATGAAACCTAAAATCTATCAGTTAGCTCAGTCCCTGCCTACTCCAATACTCACCAACCTCCACTACTCAAATTCCTGTGACGCTGCTCATCCCGTGCTCTTCATTAGCTGTGCCTGTTGCCCTAAGTTATAACCGGCTGACTGCACATCTGGCATCTTCAACTATACTACAGATTCTCACCAAAGACTTTTCAGATTTATCTAAGTTTCTCAATGGCCTCAGCAAAAACCGGATGCCCCAGAGAAATTCTGCAAAAACCTTATCGAGTGCAGAATAGTACCCAGGAGGTGTTAAAGGGATAAGAGCCCTTGGGGAGAAGTCCTTGGGGAGGGTAAGCTGCAGGCAGCTCACTGAGTCACCTTGTAAAACTCTGCCTCAGAGAGGCAGCTTATGCTAGAAAGAAAAGAACCACTGCAGGTCACAGTGATTTCCTTCACAGGGACGTATAAAGCATTGACTTTGTGGCCTTATGACTAAGCAATCATCAAGGGAGAGTCAGCTGTGCAAGACTTCCCAAACAAGGTTCCAGCTCTTTGAAGGAGGGAGGAGAGCACCCACAGAAGTCACTGATACTGCTGGAGGGCAACGGTGCGAAATCCCAGGCTTGCTTTATTTCCTGGTCTGGTCAACAGCAGAGATCCAGAAAAAAGTAAATAAGCAGTTTACTTTTCCAGTGACTACAACAATAGCGTACCCGTCATCCAAAGTCCAAAGTCTGGCCAGCACATCCCCTTTCCTGGGGCATGCTCATGCTCAGGGTGTGTGAGGCCACAGGTTTATTTTCAAAATATCACCAGGGAGCAGCCAAAGGTGGGGTATGGTGAAAGAGAAACAAGAGACATGTAAAACACGCAAAACTTGATCTGAAACCTTCTTCAAATCTAAAACCGCCGGAAACTAAATTTTCAAATTATGTTACTTGGTGGTCTTAGTGAAACAGGGTAGACGGTGAAACCAGGGTCTGAATATTTTTGGGGGTGACACTTGCTACATAGGGAGAATTACTATTATTATTATTATTGTTTATAAGACTGGCCCTGAGTTAACATCTGTTGCCAACCTTCCTCTTTTTCTTTTTTCTCCCCAAAGCCCCAGTGCATAGTTGTATATCCTAGTTGTAGGTCATTCTAGTTCTTCTAGGTAGGACGCCACCACAGCACGGCTTGATGAGCAGTGTGTAGGTCTGTGCCCAGGATCCAAAATGGTGAACCCTGGGCTGTGGAAGCAGAGCGCCGTGAAATTAACCACTCAGCCACAGGAGAATTATTTTGACCATGTTAGAATTTGGTGATTGTTAGTATGTCAAGTTTTTAAGATGATCAGTGATAACATTCCCCTTTTAGTAGGGAAATGTGTGTGTTGATTCATGTCAGCTTCCTCAAATGTGTTAAACCTAGATTTACTACCTAACCTAACTGCAGTTTTGACCTTCTAGAAATGTAACCTTCATCAACCTGTCTGGAGTTTTCCAGTCAGCACCAACGAGGTAATCTGTCCTGTGGGCCCTCCCAATCTCCCCCACCAGAGAAGACGAGGCAGTCTGCATGACAAAACCATTGCTGGTTCCCTTCCCCCTAAAGAGATGATGTCCTGGCCCAAAATAACCCTTTCTTTTCTTTTGCTAATAACTTCCTTCCCCCACCCTCCTTCCTAGAAAAACTTTCCATTTTGTGTAACATCTTGAAGTATCTTTCTACTCTGCTAGACGGGAGGCTGCCCAATTCACGAATCATTGAAAGGCCAATTAGATCCTCAAACTTGCTTTGTTGAAATTTTGTTTTTAACAGATTTGGTGGCAGCGACTAGACTGAAGGAGACTTCCAGCAGCTTCAGGGACAACGAGAAACAGAGGCATGGCACTCTGTGAATCCTTTGGAGTTCACTGTCTTTCTTGCTGTTTCTAGGGCCATTGGTAAGTTCCTCTCAGTTTGAACTCCAGTCTCTTTCGCATCCAGCTCCCAATCTAACTGGCTTTTCGCAGACCACAGTTCCCAGGTTTCTGAGGGGAAACCCCAGGCCTTGCTTCTGCCCTCAGTTTCCACGGTGGGAATTGCTGGCGGCAGCCGCAGCTCTTCGTTTGTTCTGAGTCAGTCTGCAGTCCCCATTCTTTAGGGTCTGCTGGCTCAGTCCTCTCCCCAGTCCCCAGATTCTATCTCGGGAACTGCTAGTGGTTGCCAGCTGGAGTTGGACTGGGTTCAGTAAAGGCTATTGCTAATGGAGAAGTCAGAAGCCAGAAAGCTATAAACATTGAAGGGCACAGGTTGAGCATTGAAAGTTTGCTAGAGCACTTGCCACCTTAAGATTGACACTAGGCTACCCACCGACCTCAAGAAAATTTCTGCGCAATGAGGTACACTGTAGAGCACCCCACAATTCCCAACCCTGTGGCACACCCTTCTTAGGTATTAATGTGGCTCCAAGAAACCCAAAGGCCTAGCTAAGAGAAATGGGATCTTTTATCCAAAGAATTGAGGGTGCCACCTTTCAGCACAACTGCTTATTTTATGTTTAATAACTATAGTCCTGGAAGTTGCGGAAATCTAACAAGATGGTAAGATTTTACTAAAAACAACCTAGAATTGCAATGGTCATTGTGGGGAACATTCCAAATAGGTAAGATCATTTTAAAAATGCACTTAAAAGCAAAGGCTATGCAGAAGCCTCCAAAAGGTTTCGAAATTCCAGAATAGCTTCATTGGAAGATTTACAGCAAAAGGCTAATAAAAAATTAAAGAGATAAAAGGTACCTAAAACAAAAGCTACAACTCAATTCTTGGGGGAAGTGGAAACAACTGTCTTTGTCTTGCAAATCTCTGCAGAGCCAAGGACGAGGCTCTAGAAGTTCAAAGTTCACCTGCCCTTTTTGCCAATCCCCCAAACCTTGCCCACTCCTCTCAAAATGCTTGAAAAGATCTAGACATTGTAAGTAAAACTGTCCTGCACTTCATCTTGTGCCTGTGTGATGTAAATTTTCTATCCCCATCTCTAGGAACTGAGTCATTCTTTGAAATGCAAACTTTAGGGAGAAGTTTCTTCATCAGAAGGAAAAAAAAAAAAGGCATTTGAAAATTGGGCTAATGAAAAATCTTAAATGTCCTCTCCACAAATATTAGTAAAAACAAAAGCTGTAAGGTCTCTGTTTGCACCTGTCTGTGTGTTTGTGTTCATATATGCATGCTGTACTGGTGAGATTTTTTTCAACCTCTGGATGGTATTGCCAAAATTAATTTTATAAAGAGCTCTATTTAGTTGGTCTGAAGGCAAACACTTGTAAGGACTGGGTATTTTAAATTCTCAGAAATTTAACAGAAACTAAGGCAAATGCTTTTCAGATTTACACGATCTGGGAAAATATTAGCTATTAAAGCTAGTTTAAGTTCATAATTTTATTAAAATAGCCTTGTCTTTAGAATTATCAGCATTAAATATAATGCAGATAAACAACTTTTATTCTACCTGGGTTTACTAGTCAAATTCATATCTCTGTTGCAACATTTGTCAGCAAAAAACCCCTTAGAATGATGGCTGATTTTGTCTAACATCTCATGAAGTCTTCATGGGTAATCTAAACATAACTTTTGGGAGGAAATGATTTAGACAGATGTAAGTGGGATAAGAGTTTATCAACTTTTTGGCAACAATTACATTTTATGGTATGTGTACTTAAAAATAGTTTCCAAAATCTTTTTGGTAACTTGAAACCTTAGAGTTTTGCTAAGTTAGGTTAAATGATGGAAATTCATTGAATATCTAGATCATTTCCAAATAAGATAAAATACTGAAACATTAATTGCTAAAGAAATCTAAGTTTACTACTTTTGACCTCTTATTACAGAGAAACTAAAGCTATTTTGGTCTCTTAGTAAACAGGTTTTATGCCACACTGAAAAGCATGTTTCTACAAATTATAAAAGGTATTTACATAATTTGCCAAGCCACAGAATGCTAATATAAAAGACAGTTCACAATTGCTTACTTCTTAGCTTTCACAGTAGCAACTAAGGCTTCTAAGGGTTAAGAATTCTAATTAATATACATAATTAAACCTACTAGAAATAATAATGGAAATGACTTTGTATGGAAGAAAAGTAGGATGTGTTTTTTGGTTAAGAAAAGGTATGAGGTATGGAGATACATTCTTGTTAAGGGAAATGAGAGTAATTTTATCTAAACTAAAACTTTTAGTTATTTCATAATGGCAAAGAAGAAAATGAAGGACAAGTATAGACAGAGAAAATTGGGAAGAGAGAAAAAGAGAGAGAGAATCTTGTGTAATCAGCCTGGCTAAAATTAAATTGCTATTGTGGAGGTTTTAAGAATGAGTTTTAATACCAATAGTGTATTTATGTAAAACTAGAACTTGATTTTCTTTCGTCTGTTAAAAGAACAGTTTTCTTGGACTACTGGTCTCCTGATAACAGATTATGAAACGAAAGCAAAAGTTTTATGTTTTATCACAATAATTTTCTGTGCTTTATCAGGTCTTTGATTACTTAAGTAAACTTAGTCTTCTTGATATTAAAAAAGCTGTTTTGGGGCTGGCCTGCAGTGTAGTGGTTAAGTTCACATGCTCTACTCTTTGGTGGCCCAGGGTTCACAGGTTTGGATCCCAGGCATGGACCTAACACACCACTTGAGCCATGCTGTGGTGGCGACCCACATACAAAACAGAGGAAGACTGGAACAGATATTAGCTCAAGGACAATCTTCCTCAAGCAAAAAAGAGGAAGATTGACAACGGATGTTAGCTTGGGGCCAATCTTTCTCACCAAAAAACAAACAAAAAAAGTGCTAAGTTTTGCTCAGAACTATGTAACCTTCTACATTTGCCTGTGGGTCTTTGTCACTTTGGTGAAATAGATAACTAAGTAATGTTTCACAGTGACCTGTGATCCTACTGGACCAACTGTTTTAAAACCTTTTGATTATCTTTGACAAACTTCCCAAAACCAAATTCTAAATGATCTCCTTTCTTTTTTCTTTTCTTTTTTTTTTTTAAAGATATGCTTTTTGGTGAGGAAGATTGGCCCTGAGCTAACATCTGTTGCCAGTCTTCCTCTTTTTTTTTCTCCTCAAAGCCCCAGTACATGGTTGTATATCCTGGCTGTAAGTCATTCTAGTTCTTCTAGGCAGGATGCCACCACAGCATGGCTTGATGGGCAGTGTGTGGGTCTGTGCCCAGGATCCAAGCTGGTGAACCCTTGGCCACTGAAGCGGAATGCATAAACTTAACCACTCGGCCATAGGGCCAGCCCCTAAATGAACTCCTTTTCACCTCTAGCTTACTGCGGGATTTTTCAGAGGGTCCCTGAACCATCTCAGAGAGAGAGATAATAAACTAATTAGGCTTATTTGGTATGTTAAATTGCATGGGAAGCACTGTTAAATAGGTGATGCTAAACATTCTTTGATTATATTTGTGTAGATATATGATTATAATTTTTATGACTTTGTGTTTAAAATATTGATGGTTCTGTCTTTCCCCAGATATAAAGAAACCTTCTTTCTTTAGTTAAACTATGACTAACAGCAATTTGTAAAGTTACTGTAAATTTGGTAAATTTGATCTTCATAAACAAAGATGAAAACATTTACTTCTTCTACCTGATCCCTCCAGAATTCAGAAACTCTTAAGTATTCTATTCATGGCAATATAGCTAGTTATTTGTATAAGTTCAAAAAGAATCCATTCTCCTTGTAACAGCACATAATGGGAAACAAGGGTTTTCTTATGTCCTTTGGAACCCCAATCAAAAAATGGGCAACAAGTAAACAATCTTCTTAACTGTTATTCTCCAACCTTCTGAAATTGCTGTCATAAAAATTTAGGCTAACACTAAAAAGGACTGATGTAAGTATCAGGGAAATGCCCTTGCTGACTTTCATGCAAAGGCAGGAGCAATAGAATCTATAAAGATTGTGGCACATGTGGCTGAAGTCCATTCTGCTTCTGCAAAAAATAGCCCCTCATTGTCAGACTTTTGCCATCCTGATGTCCCTGTAATGTGACAACAGTCTGCTCCTGAATCAGAGAAATTAAGATGAGTACATAATGGCTGTAAAGTAAACGAACAGTCAGGGCTATGGGAAACCCAAGATGGCTACTTGGTTCTTCCTAGCTCCCTGGCAAACCCCATTTTTTGGTTTTTGCATTACTTCACCCACCATAGCACATTTAAGATGACTCAAACTACGAATAGATATCAGTGGGGAGACTTCTATAAAACTGTGAAAACTGTCTACCAGCAATGTCTGACCTGCTAGGTCCATAATCCTGGAAAAACTATTTTTGTCCCCAGAGGCCTCAAACGTCCTCCCTCTTTGAATACCTGCAGCTGGACTTCATTCAACTGCCACTTAATATGGGTTATCAATATGTTCTTGTTATTGTATTATGTTTTCTGGATGGGTTGAAGTCTTCCCCTGCCACACGGCTGATGATCTCACAATGGCAAAGAAACTGTTAGAAAATGTGTTTCCCACTTGGGTCATACTTTCCACAATCTCCAGTGACCAAGACGCTCACTTCACTTGGCAAATCATAGAAGCCCTAACAAAAACCTTGCAAACTTCTTGTAATTACCACTGTCCCTATCACCCTCAATCATCAGGCAATGTTGAAAGAACTAACGGCATCTCCAAAATTTCTAAACTTGCCGAAGCTACTGGATTCCCCTGGCCTAAGTTATTGCCTTTGGTCTTGCAGACTGTTCACGGTACCCTCTTTGGGAAACATAAACTCACTGCACACAAAACAGTCACTGGCAGACCAATGTCAATTGGTACACAACCTTCTGCTGATCCCTTCTTGTCTCGTGCTAGTATGAGTGGCTACTGTAAGTCTTTAATGTCTTATGCTCAAGCCTGTCATCAACAGGTTAAGCAAGCTTTCCTGGATCCCAATTCAAAGGATCCTGTTGGTTACAATCTAGAGCTTGGTGACTGGGTTTTCTGGAAATGTCACCAGAGGAAGAAAGCCCTCAAGCCCTACTGGAAGGGACCTTACCAAATGCTCCTGACCAGACACTGCTGCAAAACCAGGAGGCACTGAGCCCTGGATACATGTCTTACAGCTAAAGAAAGCTCCACTTGACATCTGGTCCTGCAGAGACACTGGAAATCTCTGATTCAAATTGATAAGGAAAAGAAGTAGCTGACACTGAGGTAGACTGCTTCTGCCCAAGATGACGGATTAAGACTTCATACTTGAACAGAACATAAAACCCTTTCTTCTTTTCTTTTCTTCTTCCTGTCCTCTGACATTGCCCTGGAAAGATAATGCTCTCTCTTCACCCTCATGTTCCCAGGATTATCTAGATCAGATTAGTCCCTACTAAGAAATCTCACCAGCAGCACCCATCTTTGCAAGGCATTTAGGGCAACTCTTTATATTAGGCTAGGAGATTCTCTTCCCACATGTGCTAAAAACCTGACTGACCCCTGACTTGAATGGGCAAATGCAACAATGCGTGTGAATGAATCCATTATCAATGTCACTTTATTGGAAGTGGTTTGGGTCCCAACAGGATTTATCTCTGTCTGTGGTGGTTATCATTCTCCTTGAGCCTATGAATGCCTACATGGCTGGCACACAGCTGGGTAGTGCCTCTTAGGTATCTAACTGTGACCCTAACTGTTCTAAAAAGGACCTACCAGGAGGCTTGCATGATTCAGGATGCACTTGCTTTGGTAGGGCCCCACTTCCCCTCATTAGGAAGAGATACAAATGGGAATATAAAAGAGATCTCTCCTTAACTCTTGAAGATATTGCCAATTCCGTTGCTAAGGCTATATACTTCCCCACAAAAATCCTTAGACTCTCTGGCCAAAGTTGTTGTTGATAATAAAATAGCCGTTAACTATCTTTTAGCTGAGCGATGAGGTGTCTGTGCTGTGGCCAACACCATCTGCTGTACCTGGATCGAGACTCCTGAGGAAGGTGAAATTCAGTTACATAAGATCACTGAGCAAGACACTTAGTTTAAAAAGATGACTCCTTCCCTGGGGTCTTTGATTTATTTGATTTTGATTGGTTCGGGTCTTGGGGACTGGGGGATCAGAATTTGCCGCCCTAAAATGTGTCTCTTTGGCTTGATTACTTTTTAAGAACAAAAGACTCAGGAAGAAACTTTGACCTTCCCTCTAACTGCCAAATGAATTTAACATAGAAGGCCTGTTCCAGGAAGGAGCTAATACCATAAGGTAACTATGGTATAATATAAACTAGGTGTGATAAACACAGAGGAACAAAGCAAGGGCCATTTAATCAAATTCCTCTCCATCTGTCATTGTTCTTACAAGGCATGGTCAACATTTATTTACCAAACATTTGCTTTTCCATCTCCATGTAAATTGCCTTCCTCCCCTTTGAAGTTCCAAACCACTACTCCCAGCATCCTCCTTTGTCTTTAGCTAAAGATGGTACTTAAGGTGATGGTTTTGGCCACTTCGGCAAGTTACTCAATTTTTCTGGGTTTCTCCCATGTATACATGTTATTAAATTGGTTTGATTTTCTCCGGTTATTCTGTCTCATGTCAACTGAATTCTTAGACCAGCCAGAAGAAGCTAGAGGACAGAGGAACAGTTCTTCCTCCCCCACAGGACCATGGCTCCAAAGTATACGCCAAACATTGGGAATTATCCTGCTTATAGTCTCCCTGCCAGAATGTATCCTCAAAAGCTTTAATTCTGTGTTCACAGCTGCTGATCAACAGGGAAAAGATCTCCCTAAGACTGGAACAAGAAAAAAGCAGCAAAGAGGATAACCAACTTAAAGATTGTGAACCTGAAGCTGTGACCTGTGAGTGTCACAGAAACTAAGCAAAAACATCATGACTTGTGATACCACACAGAAGACCAAAAAAAGCCACGAAAATTACAGAGTGGTACCTGAGAGTGGTGCTAATATCTTAAGTTTTTTTTAAACACTTTTTTTTTTTTTAAAGATTGGTACCTGAGCTAACATCTGTTGCAAATCTTTTTTTCTTTTTTTTAATTTTTTTCCGTCTTCTCCCCAAAGCGCCCCCATACATAGTCGTATATTCTACTGGTAGGTTGTTCTGGTTGTACACTGTAGGACACTGCCTCAGCATGGCTTGATGAGCGGAGCTAGGTCTGTGCCCAGGATCTGAACCGGCAAAACCCTGGGCCACCAAAGCGGGGCATGTGAACTTAACCACTCGGCCACAGGGCTGGCCCCTAATGTCTTAAATTTTGATCACATCGCTCAGACAAGCTGAGAGGCTGATCAAAAAGGGGAGATTGTTAAAGAGAAAACCACAGGCCCAGAATGGTGTTACTTGTGCTAAAGTGCTAAAGCCCGTGATAACCAGATCTAGATTTAATACTTAACCTACTGCAGTTTTGACCTTCCCCAGAAATGTAATCTTCCTCAACCAGTCTGGAATTTTCTGGTCAGTACCAATGAGATAATCTGTCATGTGGGCCCTACCCTTCCCCCCACTGAGGACGAAGCAATCTGCATGACAAAACCCTCCCCCGCAAAGAGACGATGTCCTGGCCCCAAATAATCCTCCTTTCCTTTTGCTAACAACGTCCTTGCCCCACCTTCCTTCCTATAAAAACCTTCCACTCTGTATAACTCCTCAGAGTCTCTCTCTACTTGCTAGAAAGGGTGCTGCCCGTCATGAATTGTTGAATAAAGCCAATTAGACCTTCAAATTTATTTGGCTGAAATTTTTTTTTTAACAAACGAAACCTCTTCAAACTAGCAAACAAGTCTGGTTCACAAAGAGATTCAAAAGTCAGTGGTTGAGTTCATTTTAAATGAAGCACTCATTTTGAAATGAGAATCTAAGCTCAACCTTTAATTTAGATGTTTTTTCATTCAGGCTAAAAATTTTACTTCTCATGTTACTATCAAAAGTGATATACCCAAAGGCAAGAAACTCTTCTATATAAATAAAAGGAGAATAATCCTATGTGGCAGAACACTAACATAAATATTTTAAGTACACATTTTATGTATGTTATTAGTTCACAAAAAATTTGGTTTAAAAACTAGAAAACATGTTTATGGCAATGATATAAAAGATTGAGCCATGTCAAAAAGCATGATTTGATAAGTAAAATACATCACTTATGGTAGCCTATTATTCAAGTTACTTATCTCAAATACACTAATATCCTATCATTGCAAAGTTCTGTGAATTCAATTAATTGTAAATAATTTCCACCAACTTAAAGATATTTTAAAAATTCACTATTAAGCATTTAAAAATAATTAAGTGAACTATTTACTGAATGGTTTTTATATATACTCTATATTCATAAATTTAGAAAATAGAAAGACTTACCATTAACAGCTTTTTCATAATTTTTTCCTAGGTTTATTAAATTTCGTAGCCCAGGATTGAACTGTTCCACAACATTCTGACAAACAAACGAAACAAACAAATTAATAAAATAAGCGAACAACAGACCAAGCAGTCTTTACATTTTGCCACTGCACAGCCTGGGGTACCTATGTAGACTCAACAGTGTAGTCCACAAAGTCATAAATGTTTACTTAAAAATAATGAACAGCACCTATTTCCTTACGGACGGAATAGGGTGCTTGCACTGGCAAGGCCTATGTAACCCTGGCAGCTCTCCAGTTGCCCAAGGGCTACCTAGAACCTATTGTAAATGCAGCAAGTAGCAGACATGCCGTCTCTACAAAGCGTACCCTGAAGGGGCTGTGGGCCCAGAAGTTGATGCTCTCTTTTGGGTTTAAGTAGGTTAACAGTTGTTACCATAGTCTTAAGAAACAGGTGTGCATGATCAGAACTTAATTATATGGCAGTGTTTTGACTATCAATCAAATAGAAATTTCCAAGAGATACTGTTTGTACTATGTATAATTACCAGGGCAGGGTGTAGGAGTGGGTGCTCCTAATGGTCCTAGGACACAGGCCAGCCTGGAACCTTGTTTCCAGGTGGTCACTGGCATTTTCCCCTAGAGATCAGTTTATTCATCTAACTACTTATGGCATAACTACCGCATGCTAGGTCCTGTGCACACAGTAGTGGGTGGGAAGACGTTCCCCCTCACGATTTCATGATGCCATATCTGTGCAGATGTCATGGTTTTCATTTTTCAAAGTGTCATTCCTGTATCACCAGAAAGTCATAAACCTAGAGACAAATGCTATAACAAGTATAAGACATGTAATTGTTTAGAACGTTGGTCTAAATTTAAAATATCCTAAATCTGAAGTACAGACAAGAAATCATTCCTATGGGGCTCTGAGTTCTTGACTCAGGACACATGGTGACTACATTTGTTCCACCTACAAACAACAAGCTTCACAATATTAATCATTCCAGACAGACCACTCAAGTCTCTACTCCCTCTCCCAAAAAGTGCACTCTGTTTGTAGATGACCAGGCAGTGAAAAGAATGAAAAATGACATTCAAAGAGGCAGACAGTCACACACGTGCTCTTTGGGATAAAAAGGTTCTCCATTATGAGCTAGTAGAGAGAACGTAATGACTTGTTTTATCAAAAGGTGATACAGGCTTATTGCGAAAAACAACCCCTGCCTCAACCTTTCCCCACCCCTGGCCTTACTCCAAAGAGCACTTTCAATTAAGCTTTTATTTATTGCCATAGTTTTGAATAACATTCTTGATTTCTTGATTTCTCAGTTTTGGACAGTAACTATTGGCTTTCTACTACAGGAGATGAGGACTTAGCTCTCCACATCACCCCAGCTTCCCTTCTGCAATCCTTCCTATATAATTAAATGACAATTTCCTGGTAAGTCAATAGTCAGGGTTTATTATGACTTTGCAAGTACTGGTCACTACAATGCAAGGAATGTACTAGGGATTACGTTTCCTTTCCTGGTACAGACTTTTTGTTTCTCCTGGGATTAACAATCATCTCATTCCACCCCCACTCCTCCCATGCTTAGTTTTCCACGTATCTAGAATTTTTCCACATGCTCCATCAGATCTAGCAGAAGACTATTAACATTATTTTTCAAACGTGCAAAGTTGTCAGCTAATCTTCCATTCCATTTTTCCCCCTGAGCTTCCTCCAAGGACTCTCTGTCCTCTTGCTCAGTCTGTCCTGACTGTCCCTGTGACGCTGCTGCCCCTTCATGTCCCCTTGGTCCCCTGTGTTAGAACTCTCATTAACTGGAATCCACATCTTTCTCTCTTCATTCATTCCTATTTGCTGGAGATCATTCTCCAAGATTGATCTAAGAAATGAAGTGTGAGAGGTAAATCTGAGTCCCCAAACGTCTGATATTATCTTTACCTTGACATTGATTGGTATTTTGGTGGGTAGAGTATTACATATCGAAAGTGATTTTAAAGATACTGCTCCACTATCTTTAATATTCAGTTTTGCTATTGAGAAGTTGGCAGTCATTTCTTCTTCCTTTGTATGTGGGCTTTTTTTTTTCCTTTGGCTTGTTTATTTCTGGAGGCCTTCTCTTTATCCCTGTGTTTTTGAAACTATATAAGGGTCTGTTTCAGTGTGAGTACTTTTTTCATTTATTTTATTGAGCACTCAATAGACCCTGCCCATATAGAAAATTATGTCCTTCAGGTCTGGAAAATGTTGTTTGTTTTTTCTTTGGTGAGGAAGATTGTCCCTGAGCTAACATCTGTGCCAATCTTCCTCTATTATTTTGTATGTAAGATGCCACCACAGCATGGCTTGATGAGCACTGTGTAGGTCTGCACCCAGGATCTGAACCCGCAAACCCCAGGGTGCCAAAGCGAAGTGTGTGAACTTAACTACTAGGCCACTGGGCTGGCCCCAAAAATGTTACTGTTCTGTTTCTTGTCTCTTTATTCTTTCTGGAACTCTGATGAGGATTTTACACATTCTGGACTTATTCTCTCATCAGTTTACCTTTTTTCTCTGCTTTTCCACTTTTTGTTCTACATCTCTGATAGATATCCTCAACTTTACATTCCAAATCTTCTATTACATTTCAAAAACTTTTGATATAGTTTTAATTTGGGCTCTTTCAAGTTTTTGGATTATTCCTTTTAAAAAGCATCCTGATCTTGTTTTATGGATGCAATATCATCTCTTCCCTAAATAAATTGTAGTTTTTGGTATTCTCTTCCAGTTCTCCCTATTTTCTCCAGATTATTTCTTCTCATTGTTTGGTATCCATCCGTCTTCTGTGTTGGAGGCTTTCTTCAAATGTCTGGTGATCCTTGATCATCTGGTCATATTTACGAATAAAGCCCTACAATGCTGGCTAGAAGCTTGTGGGTGTGTATACAGGGTGGTTTTTGACTAGCAGGCTTCATTCAGAGTGGCTGGACAGCAAGGCAGCTGTAGAGAAACTGGCCACATGACAGTAACCAGAGCCACTGGGTTTCTCCAGAGCAGTTTCTAATTTCCTCTCACTAGGTGGGAAAGGGGGCAATCACCAGGTGGTCAGCTTTCCCAGTCAGGAAGAAGGTCGAGAATCTCACAGTTTATTGAGCTGATTTTTACTGAATTCCCCTGTTTTCAGTTCTGAGCTTTACTCCCTCCACCCTTGGCTGGTGTTTCCAAGTTGAGAGCTTCTCTGATTCAATGTATTCTGAGATTAAATCTCCAGTCTGCCAGGCAGAGGGAGCTGCTGGCAGCAGTGGTGGTTGGGTAGAAAAGGGAACCTGGCAGTTAAACCAGCTTGCATGACTCCCATTCTAGTCCTGTGTGTCCCCTCGGTCCCTGCCTTCTGTGCGGCCTGCTCCTTAGCCTTTGGGGTTCTCTCAGGTGAACGGCTCAATTCTCATCAGTACTTCTCATCAGTCGTAACTCCTCTTAAGGCAGTTACCACTCCTCTGTCCATTTTCTATCAACTGATATTTCTGTTTTCAGGTCTCTACACCATGGATTTATAGGTTTTGGTTTTTGTTGTTTTTAGTTCCTTTGCCATCATTTTAACATATTCTCAAAAGAAAGAAGAAAAACACATCAGATCAATCTGCCATGCTTAACTGGAAGTCCACTCATCCTGTATCGTTGGGATAACAGCCAGTCAGCTATTTGAGCCTCATTCACAATGAGTAGCTATGAAGCCCCAAAGCCATGTTGACTCCCCCACCAGTCTCTCTGCGAGGCAGTAGGCCTCAGTAACTGATCACGGAGCCCTGTAGCCACAGCTGCTATTTCTATCATCTTTTCCCAATTCTCTTATTTTGTTTTCAAGTTTTTTATTTTGAAATAGTTTAATATTCACAAGAAGTTGTAAAATCTGTACAGAGAGTTCTCATATATGCTTCCCCTGATGACAACTTATATAACAATAGCACATTATCAAAACCAGGAAACTCATATTGGTACAACATTATTAACTAAACTACAGACCTCATTTGGATTTATCAGCTTTTATAGCACTCATTTGGAGGGTAGGGTGTGCACTGTTTCTATGAAATTTTATCACATGTATAGATTTGTATAACCACCACAATTATAATACAGAACTGTTCCATTAACACAAAGACCTCCTTCATGTCACCCTCTTATAGCCACATCCTTCCAACCTAACTCCTGGCAGCTACTGCTCTCAATCACTATAATTTTGCCGTTGTGAGGATGTTGTATTAATGGAATTATAATGTATGTGACCTTTTGAAACTGGCTTTTTCACTCAGCACAATGCCCTTAAGAACCATCAAAATTGTTGGGTGTATCAATAGTTGATCCCTTTTTTTGCTA